AAACTAAAATGAATTGACACACAGTTTACAACGACGAAACTCTATTCAGGAATCCTAGTATTTTTCTAATTCAGATATAGATACATCCACACGATTTTCTGAATGACTACATCTTTCCATGTCGACCCCTATTCACTCAGCCGAATTAAAATTAAACGAAACTTTCGTTCTGTTTTTTTTTTAATAGCTTTTATTTATAATGTAGCCACTTCAGGTAGGGTCTTGATAAACACTGTCACAGCGCTGGAGAGATAAGAAATTTGATTTGTTAAAGCAGACGTTACCAAGTTAGGTCAAAAGGAACATTTAAGAGGGCTGTCGTTAGACCCTAACTGAAGTGGCTATACTAAAATAAAAGCTAAATAAACGGAACGAAAGTTTGGTACGAAATGAATACGATATGATTTTGCTACCTTTGCTCCTTATGGCAGCTTAATTTCACATAACTTGTTTTTAGTAAAATTTTGTCTTGAAAGAAATCTGATATCATTTTGCCATCAAAGCTCCTTGTGGCAGGTTTATTGCACTATTATGTTTAAACTTATTTTATCTTAGATTACAACTTTATCTAGATAGAGAGAAAAGCTAATACATACTGCTGCATCAACATTAGCTGGGGATTCATCATTAGGATCAGCTAACATAGAAATAACACTGAGTAATATCGTCTCTACTGTATGAACTGGTAGCCAACGCTCGGAAGCTTTCTCATAACCATATTTATCATCTCCTGGTTCATGTAATATTGATATACACACACTTCCATCAGGGCCAACTGAAATATACATACAATAACATTGATATACACACACTTTCATCAGGGACAACAGAAATATACATAAAATAACATTGATATACAAGCACTTCTATCAGGGCCAATTGAAATATACATACTATAACATTGATATACACACATTTCCATCAGGGCCAATTGAAATATACATACAATAACATTGATATACACACATTTCCATCAGGGCCAATTGAAATATACATACAATAACATTGATATACACACATTTCCATCAGGGCCAATTGAAATATACATACAATAACATTGATATACACACATTTCCATTTCAGGGCCAATTCATAATTAATCTACTCACTATTTGGGTGAAACATTTCTGTGACAAATTTCATTTTTGGAGGTCTGTGTGGATATTCTTTAGGGAAAGTTAATTCAGCTTTAAACACTCCTCCTTCACTGAAATTATCAAAATGTAATATTGTTTCGTCAGGCATCATCAACAAGGCAGGATCATATGACCCATCAACAACACTGAGGCAGTTTACCCAACTTTCTTTATCTACAGCACAGCCTGTAGCACTAAGAGACTCAATTTAATGTCTTATCCAAACAACTAGATGTTTTTTTTTAGGTCAGCCCCTCTGGCGCGCATCACTGTTAGGGGGAAACTGGGTTGAAAAATCTGAAGATACCTCAACCAATGCTGGGATTTGGACTATCTACAAGAGGCAGAAGAAACTACTTACTAAATTGTGTCACCAGGTCCTAAAATTACAACCTCCCATTTATATAAATCATCATCATCAATCAGACCAGCAGAGAAACCTTCTACAGGATGTTTATTTAATTCTACAAATAACAATTATTACAATACAAACAAACTAACTTTGGTTCTGTCATTCAGTAATGCTCATCAAGCCTTATTCATCCAAGGCCATCGGGCTTTCACACGGCGATCAAGATTAGAACCAAGAGACATCATTCTTTTAACGTAACATAAGCAAATGACGCCATGTTACAAAGAACAATTGATGCTCTACTAGACTGTGCTATAGAAAATTTATCTATTTTAATCTCAATTTCCACCAATGTGGAATTTTACAATTTACAATTTCAACCTTATGGATTTTACCCCTGTAGTTTCCTTTCATGTATTTAACAACCGAAATATATGATGATAGATTAAGATAAGCTACTTTTATTTCTTTCATCAACATCAATATACATTTAAAGGGATAGTTGCGCCATGTTTTTGACCAATCAAACCTTAGTCCCAGAAACAGGAATTCTTTTGCTTAGCAAATCAGTAAACGTGTTCACAGATCACCGTCGAAATTTGAGCCTTCAAATCCATGTGAGTCCAGAACTATTCACATGAAAATTACGAGTTGTCTTTACTTGAGACACTGCCATATATGGGCATTTTTCAATAAAAGCGAAAATTCTTGTCCTGAAAAGATTTTGTGAATTTATGTTTAAATAAACAAGTCAATTTTAGTGGGAGAAGTATATTATGTGTCAATGTACAAAATAAAGTAGGAAGCAAAAGCTGTCCATCGTTATCATTGAACAAAATTAAGTTTGAATGGTCGGAATTGCCATATTTTGCATGTCCCTAATACAAGTAAAGGTAAAACAGACTTTGAATTTGATAAAATTTTGGATTCCAAAGTAAACAATATATAATTTCTAATCATAACAACATACTCAAGATTAATTTCCATAAACTAGTTGATCAGTTTATATATAATAATTCATGTAAAATAGCATTTTGTAGTTGTCCCTAAAAATTTGTCAACTACGAAACGATTTTCTTTTTTTGCTGGCAGTCAAGGTGAGTTACATCCCTTGTTTCCTAGGAAGTGTCTTGCTACTTACACTACATCCTTGTAACAAAATGGTAGCATCTTGGAAGTGAGCATAAACCTTTGAAGAAGAATTTCGAAATTTGGTAAGTTAAGATACCAAATATTTTTGTACTTGTCCACTTGGTAACAGTGATTCTGACATACATGCACTTGCTAAAATTTCACAGAATTTTCTGATTTGAAACCTAATTGGTTGCTTTCATCAAAGCATATGAAAAAATTCTGTAAGTTGTGATAGTGGCTGAATTTCCCGCCCTTTTCTGCAAATATGTCCACAACGAAATAGTCAACTGCGAAACGATAGTTGTGATTTCGTTGTTGACAAATTGTTTCGTAGTGGAATTTATTGCAGAAATGTTACTATTATACATAATATATGTAATTTGATATGTATTTCCTTTCAAAATTAAGATCGTATATGACACTAAAAAAATTATTTCGTAAAAGTAGTATGTTTATGTCTTTTCAGGTGCGATAACATAGCCATGCCGCTAACAAACGCAGAAAGATTACGAAGATTCAGAGACAAGTTAAAAGCTGATCCTGTAAGATATAACGAACACAAAAAGAAAGAGAGAAAGCGATACCATGATAACAAAGTGGATGGGACAGTTAAACTTATTAATGAGAAAACAGAAAGGGCACAGAGACAACAAAGAAAAAAATGGAGAGGATACAAAAGAACTCAAAGACAAAAATTAAAAGATGTTGAGCAACAGTTAACACCACCTATCTCGCCTGTTGGTGATGGCCCGCCTGATGCACAATTCGTGTTTCCTTCATGTTCCCGTCAAAAAATTCAATCTAATAAGAAGAGAAACCGAGAGAAAGCTAAAGTATATAGAGATAATCGAATACTAGAGAAGAAACTTGAAAATGCAAGTAGAACCATAGAGAGACTAAAAAAGAGATTGGCGCGTTCAACAAATAAAGTAAATTCTCCACGAAGTAAGACAAGAAAATTGCTAAGACATTTTGGACATAATAATAATGTAAGAAGGACACTAACATATCATTATGCGATCTTACAACAAATGAGAGAAAAGTATAAAGAGTCAAAGCAGAAAAGAGTGATTGCTGCAGCAGTCATAGGTAGTGTTACAGCAAAATACAAACTTAAAGACTTTTTAAGAAAGGAATTAGGCATGCGTTGCAAACAGGGAAAGCCCAAGAAAAGATGCACTGTATCTGTCAAACTTAAAAAGGAGGTGCATGATTTCTTTGAACGTGACGACAACTCAAGAATGACAACAGGCATCCGACAAACTGTCACTCGAAATAAAGTAAAGCGTCAGAAGCGATTGATGCAAGATACACTTGCAAATCTGTATTCTAAATACCAATCTGAGAGTAACCAAGTCATCAGCTTCACTACATTTTACAGACTCAAACCATTTTGGGTCAAATATCCTACAGAACAAGACAGACAAACCTGCTTGTGTAAAACATGCGAAAATCTTGGATTCATGATCAAAGAACTGTATAAAAATGATGTCATTACCACTACTTGCATGGATGCCATAGTGGAGGATGTTGTTTGTTCCACACAAGACATTGACTGCATGTATGGGAAGTGTGAAACATGTAAGGAGAAACGAATTATAACAAAGCCCTTTGATCAAAACCTTGTGGTAACTTATAGTGAGTGGGTAACAGAGAAAGAGACAAGAAAACTTCAGAAGAGTGGAGAAATGAAAGATGTAACAGTTACGACAAAGAAAGAAACAGAAACATTTTTAGGATTCTTACTGGATCGTGTCCATGATGAACTATGGCTGAAGTATAGAAGACATTCCTACAATATCAAAAACCAATTCCGCCATTACAAGAAAGTCAGAGAAACTCTTAAATCAACTGAATGCTTTATTCATATTGACTTTGCAGAAAATTTTGTGGGAAAACTTTCAAGTGAAATACAAAGTAAACATTTCGGGGCTTCAAAGACACAGATATCGCTCCACACTGGATACTTTATAACAGGCTCCATGGAAGCAATACAGTCATTTTGTGGTGTATCAGATATCCTGCAGCATGACCCAATCACTGTATGGACATTTCTTCGACCAATATTACAGAAGATCAGAGAGCTTTTTCCTGAAGTAGACACCCTACATTTCTACATTGATGGACCAACAACCCAGTATCGACAAAAGCTGAATTTCTATTTGTTCTGTACAGAAATATATGAACTTGGTTTTGATAAAGCGTATTGGAATTTTCAAGCTGCAGGTCATGGAAAAGGTATTCCCGACGGAATTGGAGCTGTAGTGAAGCGTTCTGCAGATATGAGAGTTCGACATGGTCATGATATAATAAACGCATCAACTTTGATTGAACAAGTTTCAAAGGCAAGTGAAAAGTACAGCTATACCAAATCGATGAAAATATGATCAAACAGATAGAAGAAAAGTTAAAAGATAAATCAGTTAAAACAGTTCCAGGGACAATGAAGATACATCAACTGATAACAGAGAATCCTGGAATGGTGAAACACAGAGAGACAAGCTGTGTATGTGAAAATGACTTTTGTACTGGCCATAACTTGTCTGAGTTTAAGTTTTCTGTTAATCAGGCAAAAGCTTCTGGAACTGCTTCACTTAGTCTGAAAGAAAAGTGTGATGTTCAAACTCCAAAACCGACCTGTGTTGATACTGATGAAACAATTGACAATTATATTAGTGCATATGTTTTAGTTGCATATCAAGGATGTGCATACCCAGGATACGTGGAAAATATTGATAGAGAATCACAGATGTTGTATGTTGAGTGTATGCACAGAATCGGATCGAAAGATGCCAATTGCTTTTCTTGGCCAAAGAAAATGCTGGACAAAAACTGGTATGTGTTTGAAGATATATTGTGTTTGATTAGTCAGCCGAAGGCAATTGAAGGAACAACTCATTATAAAGTAGAGGATAACAAATGGAGAGAAACCATCAACTAACTCCAGAAGAGGACACGTTAAAGGACACCAACTACAGATATATGAACTTAATACGTTTTAGATCCCATATTTTACTTTTCATAGAGTTGAGATAATTCTTGTTACATATTTAGTTTCGATTCAAAACAGCAAGTTATTCTAAATTGTCCACTACGGAACGTTTTAGTCCACCACGAAAAACTGTCTGGTCCACTACGTAACGCAACCTAAAAGTAAAATTTTATCTGATAAACACGTTTTTGTTAATGAGCCTAATTACATATCAATCAACTACCTCTAGTCAACACTCTTTAAAGAATGGAAACCTTATTTTGAAAATTCATCACGAAACATTTGCATTTGAAATGATACAACTTTGTAAATTTGGTATGATTTTAGAATATAAAGCCAAAATGTATTCTTAAAAAGTTACACATCAAATGTAATGTAATGTTTTGATATCCTTTTTGTTTCAGTCAATCCTAAATTAACAGAAAATATAGTATTACATTATTTCAAATATTAATAATCTTAGTTCAGATGTTCGTTTCGTAGTGGAAATTTATTTCTAGTGTACAAATAAATTGTTCATGTTTTAGTTACTTATTGTTTGCATTAAGATTGCATTTTTTGAAATTTGTTAACGTTGATATTGAAAGGTTTGAATGTATTAAAACTTTTAACATATTTCAATGGTTTTATAAATTTATTTTGTCACATAAAAATTACACTTTTATTGAAAAATGCCCATATGTCATTAGGGTGGTAAGGTTAAGTGGTCTTATGAATCTAGTATTGTGATATTTTGATCAATGAGTTCTGTGAGTAAATCAATATCATCTCTATAGCCTACCGTTTGTGAAACTGAATGAAATGATATTTTACAGAGTGTTCTTTTTTTAAATTGTTGTTGTTCAGTAGGCCTATACAGTATAAATTATTTATAACTCCATGGTATAGGTTTATCTACAAAGGGATGTAACTACTATGTATGCCTTTGAATTAAAGACTACTACGCATTTTCAAGCCCTTTTTTTTACAGCAGATACAGAAAGGGATATCCGTATTCATGACAGTTTTACGTGAACCGTGCCATGTCCTCTATCTATATACTCTCTACGGTCTACTGTCTGGGCCTAGTATGCCTAAGCCTAAGAAGAAGAAATATGTTTGC